AAAGAAAGGCAAATAGACTCTAGTCTTAAATAGAATTGCTGACAATGATTTTGGTAGGAAAGATCAGATATATCAATTTGGAAGGCACTGTGTAGACAACTTGGAGAATTTCTTAAGTGGGTTTAAAGCCAAGATTGACATCATAAGAAGAGAGATAAGCTCTATATGGGATCAGAGCAGGGACTAAGTGTTGGTGATGATTACATTAAAGCCCAAGAATGAAGAACCAACAAAAGACCAGGAGAAAGAAGGGAATTTGAGACAGAGCAGATCAATACTAGTAACAATAACAACCATGCCAGAGACAAGCGGCCAGAGACAAGCTACCAGTCAGCCTCGGAAAGACAGGCGCCACCGGAGAGCATGTTGGCTGAGTTTTGAGCAAAGGGAAACCAACAGACCATGTGATCTTTCTGGGCTTTACTGTGCCTACTTAAAAGCATTGGTCTCCTCAGGAGCTCAGGCAGGAGTAGCCTGCTCTTTGTGTACAAATCTGAGAACAGGAAATCCAAATTACTTTCTGGAATTGACCAGTTCCCTTTCTCCATCTCAAAGCTGGAGAGGTGGAGAATGATGCATGGTTTGAACATTAACAAGGTTCTTAACCATTCTGTTAGTCCTGTTAGCCAGATGTATGCAAGGGGACTTCAATGACATCCGGAGTCCTTCCGTGGCTACCTATATACCAGAAGGAGCAATTCTATCCATAAAAGTTGGCTTAAAACAATCCCAGGCTTTAGATTCCTTTTATAAAACTTCGCACTTGGAGATAGCTTCACTTCTAGCAATTCATCAAAACCCAGCACATCCAGGAAGGAAGTACAGTCCCAGTGCAAGACAATCCCAGTGCAGGGATGTCAGGCCAGAAAATAACAGTGCCTGGTCCTTTCATCTGCTTTTAACTCATCTCAAATTCTGCCCTGTAAAGAGTTGCTTTTTATGACTAAATCATTGCTATTGATCATGTTATTCTTTAAAACTTTCTAGTTGCTATAATAACCTGTGTCAAAAGCATCATCAGTTGGAACCAAAGGTTTGGGTTGAAATGAGAAGTTAGCCATTGGTCTTCAAGAGTTAAGACGTATGGGATTTTATAAATCTGAAGTAGTCTAGAATTATGGGGCAGTAGCCAAAACTTACTTATTTGCCAGGAATATTGGACATTTAAGGTTAAACTAAGCACCATCTAATACTAGGTACAGATATCCCCATTTTGCAGGTGAAGGGACCCCCCAGATGTCCCACAGCTATAAAGTATCAGAGCCAAACCATTAGCCCAGATCTGATTGCTACAGCAGTCCAAGCTTTATGGTCAATAATTTCTAACAAAGTCACCACCATGGGTAACACTTAACACATGCAGTGAGACATTGGAAAACAGAAAAGCACCTGCTTCCAATAGAAACAACGAAGGCCACTTCTGAAATACTCTATGAGCTGCTACGTCATTGCTGCCTTTTACCTACTGTCAATGGCACAGACATCTCAGTTAATTAAACTGTCTGAATGTGCATAAGAGGCCAGATTAGTACCTGTATAAGGGGCAGAAATGCCTCTGCTTCTGGGGAGACCTAAGGTAGCACCCGGCTCTAGGACCACTGCCAAGGGAGCCCTAGAAGGCAAGGCTGCAAGAAACCTTGGAAGTGGACCAGGAGTTCAGGTGTTTACCATCTTCCTCCAAACCAAATATCTTATAAGGTGGGCTAAGCAGAGAAAACTCACCCTCAGATCAGACAAGATCCCCTCTCTCTAAAGTATCTTTAGGGAGCATTCTGAAAGCCACAGATTTAGCCACATCCCTTCATGTAGAGACATTCTGCAAAGCCAGCTGCAAAGCAGATCCTTCTTGCTTTCACGAGCATCTCTAGTCACAGCTCAGCTTGTGCTTCCTTCCCCACGGTTGCTGTTGGCAGCACCTACAAGAGCTGATTGCCCTGTCATTCCTTTCCAGCGGTATGAAAGTGTTGACTACAGGCTCTGAGTTATGCGCTAAGTCCAAGTCAGCACCTTTCTTCATTGGGTTTCCACGTTGGAGATCCAGAGAAAGACAAATGTCACCTACCTAGAAGTTTTATTTGTTCATTGGCACTCCCACACTCTGTGAGACCCCTGCCTGAGGTGCCAGGTGGCAGAGGCCCAGCCTAGGGACCCTGCCGTGTCAATGGCCACCCAGGCTTCCCCTTTAGGAAAGGGCACACTGGGGATCTCCAAGTCTTATTAATGGTACTGAGTCACTTTCTCTGGTTGGAGTATTTCAGGTCATTTTAATTTTTTCTATACTTTGTTACATCTAGTCAAGCTTTCACTGTGAGCATCTTTCATGAACTGAGAACTGTTTTAAATTAAGACATGTCTCATCATCCAAGAGTTGGCTTCTACAAAACAGCATTTTTCAGATTTCAAA